TATGAGGTTTAAGACCCTGTTCTCATCAGGATGCCAGCAGTCGACTCCCAGAAATCTACAGATGAAACCTTCTGTATAGTTGTTGAAATCCCATGTGGTGTTTAAGTATCCATGAGGGTCTATCATAGAATCCTTAATAGATTTCAAGCAATAAACATCAGTGTCAGTAGCACTAGTTACGGTGAAAGTAGCTAACAAGGAGAACATAAAAGAGTAGATAAAAAATAAATTAGCCATTTGGATTTGAGAGTTCATCAGAGTAGACTACAATGGAATGGTTGGAATGACCAAAAATGAGAAATAAGAATCATAAATACCTAATTAAAAGGAAATTTGAATTGAAATCTCTTTTTGTTTATGAAATCTCCAAAGAAAGCTTTTATTCTTGAGCTACTTTTTCTGCATTGAAATGTAATTTCCACGAAAGCGTGGGGAAAACAAGGGCTGGCAGAAGCTTAAGTCTTCATTTTCAACTTCTTTCAATTTCCTCTTGTTTTTATTTTTTAAAATAAAAGATTAAATCTTTTGTTTTTGTATTTGAAACTACAATTTAAAAGTATATTTGATTTAAAATATCAATTTAATATATTTTTAGCATTTTTTTAATGGTTTTGATGTGTTAATTTTTTTTAAAAAAAAAAAATTATTTTAATATAATTTTAAGAAAAAACATGTTTAGGGTGGTATTCATGGGATGTGGAGCGTAGAGGTCGAAGGTGGCAGAAACTCATTTTAGTCGCTGTAGTTATAGAAACATCTTATTTGTTCCCTGTATTTAATTCAAGACTTATCTTAAAGTGATTGGTATGGTGTCTATGGACTACATGTTGCTATGGAAATAACGAAGCCACAAAGAAAAGATGCATTGACTTGATAGTCTACTTCTTCAACTCAAGAGGCCAAGTCTATGGGACACGTAATTAAAGAGAGAATGGAATATGGCCCTATAGGACTCCAATTTCCACGAAAAAGGTTCAAGTCCTGATTTATAAGTTTTTGTCAATTAACGTAGGCTTATTTTTCTTCTTCTTTTCTTGTTTTTTTTTTCAATAGAATTATTTGCACGTCAGTCAACTTAAATGTTAATTGAGATTAAATCTTTAATCCCAGCAATTTTAATAATACTTAGTATATTTAATAACTCTTTTCGATTGTAATTTTAAAGTTTAAACTAAAATAGAAAAAAAAACAAAGGAGGACTTCATCAACTTTAATATCAATTCCCTTTAACTCTCCTACGCTAATTAATTTAATTTGATGATGATAATTATAATAAGTATTAATAAGAACTTTAATGATTTAAATTTAGAGAAAACATGTTAGGGTGAGAAAACCTCATTCATGATAAATATTTATTACACTAAAATGATTTTGCCCCAATATTTTTTATTTATTTATTGACGACAAGCAGGCTTAGCAAACATTAAATGGGAGTTTTGCGTATTAATTTTAGCTGAATATTCCATGGACAAAGATGCTCTTGAGATACAAGATTGTTTGCGAAATCATTAAATTTAATTTTTTATCAATGATTTAGGAATTACATTCTTAAAAATCAAGTAAAATATTCATAACCTTTATTTTTCATTTCTTTATTGAACACGTTGAGTACACGAATAAAAGATGCATTGATTTGTTAGTCCACAAATTTATTGACTTGTTTTAATAATTATAAAATGTTTTCTTCTAGGATATGAATCGAAAAAAGAGCGAGTTTTGAGGATATAAAAACAGCGGCAAATGACAAGGATACATCTGACTATTAACTACGTACGGCGTCCACAGTTCCAAAGTCTTTGTCATCCTTGTCCCAGTGGACAAGTTAACTCCCTGGTGTTTCAAGGAGTATTGGTTGGAATTAGTGACTCCAAATCCGCGTCAGATATAATTTACTTATTATAGCGTTTTTTGAAGTACGGTGCTGGTTGCGGTTTAAATTGTTTTTATTTTTAAAAAAATAAACTAAAATAATTATTTTTTAAAATAAATTTAAAATTTTTAGAAAATATAATTTTAATGGCATTATCAAATACTGTAAAAAAAAAAGGGATTTAAAATTGATTTTAGTTCTTGTAAAATTTCTTTAAAAATAAGGTTTCATTCTGGTCCTTGTAATTTCTTTAAAAATTATTTTAGCTTCCATATTTTATTTTCATTTACAAATTGGTCTTTATTTGATTTTCTTTTATTGTTGTTTCTTATGAAATCTATAATTTAGCCCTTATAATAATAAAAAAGGTTCTTAGATCCATTCTAGTTTTTTTTTATTTTAAAAATTATTCTTCATAATTTATATATATATATATATATATATATTAGGTTATATACTGATCTTATAGATTTATAAGAAGGTTTTTATAAAAAAATAAGATAGTTGAAGGTAATGATAAAGGTTTTGATGAGAAAGGTAGATAAATTGAGCAATGAAATGATTAGTAAACATAATATTTCTAATTATAAGAGAAAGAAGATTAAAACGTCTATTAGATTAACACTTTTTTCTCCATATAAAAATATAACTTAAAACTCCAATGATAATAAGGAAGATGATGAAAGAAAGTCTTGTATACACTAAAATCTTTTATATGAGACATAATAAAAGAAAGAATTTGGTGGTAAATTTCAGCTAGCCAAAAAAAAAATTAAATAATCTTGATGGTTTAAATCATAATTTGAGTAGTATAAAACTTGAAATCTCAACATTTTAAGAAAAAGAATGATCCAAAGATCCAAAAGTATATTAATAATACTAATAATACATTTTTCATTGAAAATTAGATTCAAATTGTTTTGTTATTCTTAAATTTTATGCATAAATTTTGAACATGATTTATTATATTTAAGGATTTTTTAGTTTTGAATCACACATAAAATATGAGCATACTATTTTGATATTTTTTTTATTAATTTATTTTAATAACCATAAGATGTTTTTTTTTTAAATAAAAAAATTATTCAGGCTATAAAACACTTATTTTATTTATTTATTTATTGACGACATGCTTATCAACAGACCACATTTTTTCTCTCCTAGCAATGAGGCCATATATCTATACTATTTTCCTGTATACACAGGGATATTGTTGGTTTTACAGCTAGTGCTAATGGCACAAGATGGCATTGCCCAGAAGATATATGCAATGGGAGACGGATCACTCCTGGGCAACCTTCACTACTTTACTTGAAGAGAAAATATTGGTTAGTGTTGCTTGTGCTTGTCGTTTGCGACTTGTTTTTTTCTTTGTAATAATTCTTAGGAACCTTGCTGATCAACAGATCAGTGAAGTTCGAGCGCTGGCTGGAACTCAAAACATGAGGTTGTTTACATGAGGCGGTGAATCTTTCTGCATGCCTCCGCGCAAGGATGGATCACAAGACAAGCAGAGATTGTAGGCCACCACAACATCTTTTCCACTTTCTTCTTCTGGTGCTTCTAGTTTGATGCTAGCTACTTGTCGTCACGTACGTATGGGTTTGATTCTTTTGGAAAGCCACTCACAGAGTCCTTGAGAATCACTTGCTTCTTGCTCATCACTCCCTCGCCACCAGCTCTATGACCACTAGCCATGCTTTTCCTTTATATTTAATAGTAGATATCTAATGTTTATTTTATTTATTGTATCTCTGGATAAAAACAACTTATTAACCCTCGTATCAATTTGATATACCAAGTTAAGATTTAGATAATTTACCTCTTGTAAGTGTTCTAATTTTAATTTTCTCATCAAATCTCGACAACATAATTGATATCCTTAAATAAATGATTCTACTAAACAAATTTAGTTGGAAGATCAGTTGTGAGCTCTTTGTATAATCTTGTCCTTCATTTTTATTTTCATTATTATCATACACGTTGATAGATAGATAGATGTATATGTATATGACATAAACTAGATCATTGGTTTACACTAAGTTGTAGAAATGTTTAGGCATTGATAATATAATTTTAGTAAAAAAAAAATTTTATTGTGTGAAAATTAATTTGATGTAAATCATATTTTTTTTCGGGTCCAAAAATAACCTAAATTATCGATAAAAATATAATTTAACTCTAATTAAATATTTAAAATAAAATATTTTAAAAATCATTGAAAAAACACTATATTTGATTGATTCAGGTCAATCATTTTTAACCTAGCACCAATTTACATACCAAATAATGAAATCATGATGGTTCCAAAGAAAACAAATAAAATTTTTTTACAAAACTCAAATCAAAGTGTGCGTGTTGTGCTTATTTTTATTTATTTTATGTTAAATGAATGATAAAAAAAAAAGATAAAAGTTTTAATTAACAAAATATTCTAATTGCATGAGGCTAACAATCCTAAAAAATAATTTAAGCATTTATTTTAAAAATTTGAAATACTTTTGCATAAATTTTATAAAAAATTTGTAAGATTCCAAATAATTATGGCCTACATTTCAAAAATACCAAAATTTTTTTTTTTTAATATATGAGATTTTGAACTTATATATGATATATATTCATGATATTAAAAAAAAAATTATTTTTATATTGATAACAATTATGTTTTCAACTTGATAAAATAAAAATCTCCTTACATATGATAATTTTTTTCAACTTTAAATAAACCAACGGTTAGAAAACATATATTTCTCTTAGTTTATATCAAATAAATAAATAATACAATATATCTCAAAAAAAGCATACTGGAGATACTAATTCTTTACATAATCAATTCATTTTTTCAAATTTTAAAACTAGGAATGATTTCTAATTACCAAAATATTTTGCAATGATTTTTTTTTTTTATTAATAAAAAATAATTTTTTTATTCTATTCTCTTATACGATTCTTGATTATTCCGATCTTGGAGAATGATCATGCCCCACACATGCAACCATATGCATTATAATAATCTCAATATATATGTATTTGTGGCTGCAGACTTAGTGTATTTTAAAAATATATTTCACCTGAAAAGGATAAAATTGATGAATTTTTCTAGTATTTTGTTGAATAATGAGGTCATGACACATGACAAACATGTGGCTGCTTCACAGCTCATATCAATACATGACATGTCTCTTTTCATTAGTTTCCAGATAGATTAACAGGATTTGATTAGAGTTGCTATTATCAATGGAGACTGATGGCGGTGCTGGAAATGTTGTGAGAAACAAGAAGTTGATGCTCAAAGACTACATCAAAGGTTTCCCAAAAGAATCAGACCTTCATCTAACAACTGAAAGTATAGAATTGAAAGTACCACAAGGTTCAAATGCAATTCTTGTGAAGGTTCTTTACCTCTCCATTGATCCTTACCAGTATATTCGATCCACGAAGATCGAAAAACCTGGCTACTTCTCTTCCTATTCCCCTGGTTCTGCAAGTCTTACATCTTCCTTTCATATACAGACGGCCAGACTCAAATTTCCAGGATTGTAGTAACAGACTGACCCTTTTCTGCTGAGAAATTTTGTTTGCAGGTGATAGCCAGTTATGGAGTGGGTAGAGTTGTTGAATCTGGACACTCTGATTTCCAAAAGGGTGATCTTGTTTGGGGAACAACTGGCTGGGAAGAGTACAGTCTGATTACAGAACCTGAAACTCTCTTTAAAATCCAACGCTCAGATGTACCCTTATCTTACTATTTGGGAGTTCTTGGTAAGTTTTCAAGAATTTGATCAACAAACTTCTGCAAGATTTTGGAGTACTAAAGGTGTTTTTGTGTCTTCTCCATAGGTATGCCTGGTTTGACAGCTTATGTTGGTTTTTATGAGTTCTGTGCTCCTAAGAAAGGAGAGACTGTTTTCATTTCTTCAGCAATTGGTGCAGTAGGTCAGCTTGTCGGGCAGCTAGCAAAATTGATGGGCTGCTATGTGGTTGGTAGTGCAGGAAATCCAGAAAAGGTATTTCATTTTTCTATACAATTACATGCTCAGTCCTGATTCATACATTTACAGAGTTAAACACGCATGGCATTAACATCGGGTCTGCTGGCCTGAACTTTCCATGGATTTTTTATAGTGATTTCCAACTTCTCATATCCTATCAAGAGCACATCCATTTGGAGCATAACATCAGCTTTTCTTTAACCTGATCTTATTATTTGTTGTCATGACTAGTTTTCTTTCTGTTTTGCATTCAAGATGACCCAGTTTCAACAATTTGCTCTTTCATGTTTCTAATTTCTTACAAGGTTGATTTGCTGAAGAACAAGCTGGGATTTGATGATGCATTCAATTATAAAGAAGAGAAAAACTTGAATGATACGTTGAAAAGGTCAGGTTTTGCCTTTATCTGTGCTTGATATATATGATTGCGCATGCTTCTTGGCAAATTGCAGTAGGTCATCCATCTTTTTCCTGCAGAGATAGCTTTCAAAAAATTAGGTATATCACACATCAAAGCAACAAGACTTTAGCTTTCAGCACTTCAAATCCACTGGGCCGTCAAATATATCCTTGATATGCAAAATCAATTAAAAACCTGCCTGCCCTACTCCAACAACCCATTCACCATGTTATCAACCCTCTGTGCATGCAATCTGTCCTGCTGAAGAAATTTGTGGGGTTGGGCTACCAAAATTGTCAACTAGCAATAAAAGAAAAGAAATGCCAAGCTGTATGATTATTGCAGCAGTTATGAAGTGACCCATGTGAGCTTCAAAAAACTCAACCCGCAAGTTCTTGCTGTTGTTTTCGCATCGATTCATTGCAGGCACTTTCCTGGAGGCATTGACATTTGCTTTGACAATGTTGGGGGCAAAATGCTTGATGCTGTGCTACTCAACATGAAACTTAAGGGCCGCATTGCTCACTGTGGAATGATTTCACAATACACACTGGATGAGCCTGAAGGCATAAAGAACATGATGAACATCATTTATAAGCGGCTTCGCTTGGAAGGATTTGTTGTCACTGATCACTATCACCTCTTTCCCAAGTTCCTAGACTTCATGTTGCCTTGCGTTAGAGAAGGGAAGATTGTGTATGTGGAAGACATATCTGAAGCTCTTGAGAGCTGTCCAGCTGCTCTTGTAGGGCTTTTTAACAGCAGCAATCTTGGAAAGAAAGTTGTTATAGTTGCTGCAGAATAACAAGCCAACCAAATTGTAGCGTTCTCATGGGCCATTGAGAATTGTATGCATCCTCTTCTTTCATGTGGTTACAAGTCAAATATAATCAATAATGTGGTTGGATTTTTTTATATGTAAATGCTAAACTTGTATTTCGAAAATTACTACATGCAAATTATTTAATATTTAGGAGTGTTTTTCTTAAAAAAAAAATCCATGGGATGCAGACCATAGTTATTTAGGCACAACTGGGCTTGACGGGTTGACCTATAAACCATAGTGTGCAATGGACTTGCTCTAATGGTCTTATACCACTCTCATTACTTGTGTACTAGGCTACTGCCCGCGCTACGCAGCAAGGTTGTAATATATTATGTGTTCAGTTTGGTTGTATGCATTTTGCTATATGAGCTTCAAAAACAAAAACAGATTTTAGCAAGCAATACTCAAGAAGATACAGGTAAAGTCAGCAAAATAAGAAATTTAGCTTATAAGTTCATGATCACAGAAGTGGGATAAAAACCAAGAAGAGTAAAGTAGATCGATTGGCAATATGAACAAAATTAACAGCAGAAAGCCTAGACAACAATATAGTAACGCAACGATATAAGTAGCTTAACAAAGGGTTGCCTAAGCCTGAAACTAACTACTGAGCCAAAAAGAGAAATAAGGAAGGTCAAGCTTGCTGTGGAAGTCATAATAATAAGCTTGCCGATGAAACAAATACAGATCAAAAGCGACTTCCGATCAGTGCTGAGGTGCGTGTTTATTAGCTCACAACCTCTCCCAAAAAACACAGAAAAAGAAAAAGGACACAACAAACATCATATCAACTCACTCGAGCGGCTAAATCCAGCGTTTTGCATAAATTTATTAGCTCTTGAGAACAGGCTCAGAAGGAAGGGATAAGTTCCTGGGTAAATAATACTATATTAAAATTTTAAAAAAGAAAGAGGAAAAAAAGTCTCATGAGACTTATGGACGTACTGCTCTGATGTTAAAAAGCTGTCCCTATCTTTAACAAATTGTAATGCCTTGCTCACAATGTACCTGCCTTGTAAAAAGCCACGAAAGCCAGCAAAACAAAAAGAACGCCAACAATTGCCGCTGTGAACAGCACCATGAGCCAAAGGGTGCAGTAGTCACACTGCATCTGGCTTTACAAACAACCACCAAAAAGAAGAAACTGTAGCTGTGAATAGTAACATGATTCAAGGGCCACAGTGTTTCGGCCTTCCAATGAAAACCCAGCGATGCCACACCTGTCCACGACAAAAGAGAACCCAGACCAAAAACAAATTTAAGCCAGCCGACAAAAACTCCAGAATACATCAGCAGGCCATGTGTTTGAGAACTGTGCCGCACCCGACCACGACAAAAGAGAACCCGGACGAAGCCAGACCAAAAGCAAATTTAAGCCAGCCGACAAAAACTCCAGAATGCAGGCTATGTGTTTGAGAACTGTGCCAATCCACAGTCCCTTAATTCTCGGTAAACAGGATGTGTGCTTTAGCTTTTGCTTTTTAATTTTTTCGATTAGTATATTTAATAATTCTTTTCGATTGTGATTTCGAAGTTTAAAATAAAAGGAGAAAAAAACAAAGAAGGAGAACTTCATCAACTTTGATATCAACTCCTTTTAATGATTGCTTCCATATAATTTAGAGTAAAAACCCTCACATCTATGTTCTGAAGATTTGTTTTTATTTAATTCGACGATGATAATTAAAATGAGTATTAATTAATAAGAACTTTAATGATTTTAATTTAGGAAAAACATGTTAGGGTGAGAAAACCTCATTCATAATAAATTATTGCACTAAAATGATTTTATATGGGAGTTTTGAGTATTAGTTTTAGCTGAATATTCCATGAACAAAGATGCTCTTGAGATATAAGACCGTGTGCAAAGTCAAAAAATTTAATTCTTTATCATTGACTTAGGAATTAAATTCTTTGATGATTTAAATTTAGGGGAAACATGTTGGGGTGAGCAAACCTCGTTCATGATAAAATATTACACTAAAATGATTTTCCACTCAATTTTTTTTAGCTTCTATATATATATATATATTTTATTTTCATTTACAAATTGGTCTTTATTTGATTTTCTTTAATTTGTTGTTATTTCGTATGAAATCTATAGTTTAGTACTTATAATAAAAAAGTTTCTTGAAATTAGATCCCTAAATGATTACTTAAAATCATGAAATAGTTCATTTTATTAACAAAACACTTATTTAGCCACACCCACCAATATATATCTATACATATGCGTGCGCGCGGGTGTGTGAACTGAATATTATCGATTTGAAAGGAGGGCCTCAAAATTTTGAGAATATGGGCCTATCAAATAAATAGAGACTTATAGTTAATAAAGATGGGCCTGTTATATCAAATGGTTGTGGGAGTCCTGTACCCCTTCATGCTTAACCGCCAAAATATTTTCCTACCGTAATTTGCATCAAAGATGTTTGTCCTGTTTGTTCACTCAACAAATTCTTCTTAAGGAGAATCTCTAAATTATCGACAGACCACGTTGTTCCTCTCTTAGCAATAAGGCCATATATCTGTACTGTTTTCCTACACAGGGATTTGTTAGTTTTACTGCTAGTGCTAATGGCACAAGATGACATTGCCCAGAAGATATATGTAATGGGAGATGAATCACTCCCGGGAAACCTTCACTACTTTACTTGAAGAGAAACTATTGGTTAGTGTTGCTTGTGCTTGTCGATTTCGACTTGTTTTCTTCTTCGTAAACAAATCCAAATTCTTAGGAACCTTGCTGATCAACAGATCGGTAAAGTTCCAGCGCTGGCTAGAACTCAAAACATGAGGTTGTTTACATGAGGCGGTGGATCTTTCTGCATGCCTCCGCGCGAGGATGGATCACAAGACAAACAGAGATTGTAGGCCACCACAGCATCTTTTCCACTTTCTTCTTCTGGTGCTTCTAGTTTGATGCTAGCTACTTGTCGTCACGTACGTACGGGTTTGATTCTTTTGGAAAGCCACTCACATAGTCCTTGAGAATCACTTGCTTCTTACTCATCATTCCCTCGCCACCAACTCTATGATCACTAGCCATGCTTTTCCTTTATATTTAATAGTAGATATCTAATGTTTATCTTATTAATTGTATCTCTGGATGAAAACAACTTGCTAACCCTCGTATCAATTTGATATACCAAGTTACGATTCAGAGCATTTACCTTTTATAAGTGTTCTAATTTTAATTTTCTCATCAAATCTCGACAACATAATTGATATCCTTAAATAAATGATTCTACTAAACAAATTTAGTTGGAAGATCAGTTGTGAGCTCTTCGTATAATCTTGTCCTTCATTTTCATTTCATTATTAACATACATGTTGATAGATAGATGTATATGACATAGACTAGATCATTGGTTTACATTGAGTTATAGAAATGTTTAAGAATTGATAATATAATTTTAGGAAAAAAAAAAAAATTGTATGAAAATTAATTTGATGTAACTCATATTTTTTTCTGGATTCAAAAACATTCCAAGTTACCAGTAAAAACATAATTTGACTTCAATTAAATATTTAAAATAAAATATTTTAAAAATCATTGAAAAGACACCATATTTTATTGATTTGAGTCAATTATTTTTAACCTAGCATCAATTTACATACCAAATAATGAGATCATGATAGTTCCAAAGAAAACAAATAATTTTTTTTTATAAAACTCAAATCAAAATGCGTGTGTTGTGTTTATTTTTATTTATTTTGTGTTAAATGAATGATAGAAAAAAAAGATAAAAGTTTTAATTAACAAAATATTCTAATTGCAAGGGGCTAACAATCCTAAAAAATAATTTGAGCATTTATTTTAAAAATTCTGAAATACTTTTGCATTGATTTTATAAAAAAATTTGTAAAATTTTAAATATGGTGTCTTTTCAATAAAATTTGAGCATAATTTTAAATAATTATGGCCTATATTTTAAAAATACTGAAATAATATTTTTTTTAATATATAGGATTTTGAACTTATATATGATATATATTCATGATATTAAAAAAAAAGACTATTTATTTTTATATTAATATAATTATATTTTTAATTTGATAAAATAAGAATCTCCCTAAATGATAACTTTTCTTCAACATTAAATAGATCAACAGTTAAAAATATATATATATATATATATATATATTTTAATTTATATCAAATAAATAAATAATATAATAAATATCAAGAAAAGCACATTAGGATTACTAATCCATTTTTCCAAACTCTATAAAGACTAGTTATGATTTGTAGTAATTTTTTTTTTTTTGTACTGATAAGAAATTATTCTTTTCTCTTACACCATTCACGATTATTCTGATCTTGAAGAATGATCATGCACCACACATGCCACTATATGCATTATAATAATCTCAATATATATGTGGTTGTGGCTGCAGACTTAGTGTATTTTAAAAATATATTTCACCTGAAAAAGCATAAAATATATTTGATTAGAGTTGCTATTATCAATGGAGACTGCTGGTGGTGCTGGAAATGTTGTGAGAAACAAGAAGTTGATGCTCAAAGACTGCATCAAAGGTTTCCCAAAAGAATCAGACCTTCATCTAACAATTGAAAGTATAGAATTGAAAGTACCACAAGGTTCAAATGCAGTTCTTGTGAAGGTTCTTTACCTCTCCATTGATCCTTACCAGTACATTCGATCCACGAAGATCGAAAAACCTGGCTACTTCTCTTCCTATTCCCCTGGTTCTGTAAGTCTTACATCTTCCTTTCTTCTCTTCCTTTCATATACAGACGGCCAGACTCAAATTTCCAGGATTGTAGTAACAGACTGACCCTTTTCTGCTGAGAAATTTTGTTTGCAGGTGATAGCCAGTTATGGAGTGGGTAGAGTTGTTGAATCTGGACACTCTGATTTCCAAAAGGGTGATCTTGTTTGGGGAACAACTGGCTGGGAAGAGTACAGTCTGATTACAGAACCTGAAACTCTCTTTAAAATCCAACGCTCAGATGTACCCTTATCTTACTATTTGGGAGTTCTTGGTAAGTTTTCAAGAATTTGATCAACAAACTTCTGCAAGATTTTGGAGTACTAAAGGTGTTTTTGTGTCTTCTCCATAGGTATGCCTGGTTTGACAGCTTATGTTGGTTTTTATGAGTTCTGTGCTCCTAAGAAAGGAGAGACTGTTTTCATTTCTTCAGCATTTGGTGCAGTAGGTCAGCTTGTCGGGCAGCTAGCAAAATTGATGGGCTGCTATGTGGTTGGTAGTGCAGGAAGTCCAGAAAAGGTATTTCGTTTTTCTATACAATTACATGCTCAGTCCTGATTCATACATTTACAGAGTTAAACACGCATGGCATTAACATCGGGTCTGCTGGCCTGAACTTTCCATGGATTTTTTATAGTGATTTCCAACTTCTCATATCCTATCAAGAGCACATCCATTTGGAGCATAACATCAGCTTTTCTTTAACCTGATCTTATTATTTGTTGTCATGACTAGTTTTCTTTCTGTTTTGCATTCAAGATGACCCAGTTTCAACAATTTGCTCTTTCATGTTTCTAATTTCTTACAAGGTTGATTTGCTGAAGAACAAGCTGGGATTTGATGATGCATTCAATTATAAAGAAGAGAAAAACTTGAATGATACGTTGAAAAGGTCAGGTTTTGCCTTTATCTGTGCTTGATATATATGATTGCGCATGCTTCTTGGCAAATTGCAGTAGTCATCCATCTTATTCCTACAGAGATAGCTTTCAAAAAAATAGGTACTTCACACATCAAAGCTACAAGACTTTAGCTTTCAGCACTTCAAATCCACTGGGCCGTCAAATATATCCTTGATATGCAAAATCAATTAAAAACCTGCCTGCCCTACTCCAACAACCCATTCACCATGTTATCAACCCTCTGTGCATGCAATCTGTCCTGCTGA